CCCCCCCCCGAGTCCAGGCGCCTTTGTCAAACTCCTGGTAATTCCTACCTTCCCAGATGCCAGCGTGACGCGTTCTCACCATCCGCCGTTCAACATCACCGGGGGCACGCAACAAGAGACACCAACCCGCTCCGAATCAATACATTCCGAAAAGGCCTTTGCCCACATCAAACATACCTAATACCTGGTAGTAGGTGTTTGGTTTCTTCCGTCATCTATCACACTCAGACAGCGAGCACCGATGTCGACATTCGCATAGCGCATGTTCTTTCGGGTCAAGCTGCCGTACTACATGCCCTCACCCCCCCACCCCTACTGAACATGTCTTCTTCAGCCAGTGCTTCGTTTCTCTACCCTCAACACGGCCAGCTGTGTCTTTGTCGTCTTGGGATCTTCAAGTTCCGCGAGGCCATAACGAGTAGCGCGATGTTAATCCCCTCGTAGGAACGCAATCGAAATGCTTGGCTGGGTGGGGTGCTTACGCAGTTGTCTCGATTTCTTCAAATGCCAAGCTGCCTGCTCGTCAACGTATGACGTGGGGCGTAACCCGTCCACTTGTTGCTGCTGTTAGCGCACGGTGAACTCAAACACACCAAGCAAAACAAACGAAATTACAAGACTCGCTTACAATCAGCTGAAAGGCACCACAACAACAATTCCATGTGGTTCCACGACGAAACCGACCAACTACTGTGTGAGCAACGGTTTTCATACCGGTATCATAGTAGTGCTTCTCTCCACCAAGAAACACACCAGCTGTGAGATTCTCACCGTTTTTCACCACCACCATATCCCGGAAATCAGACGGGAAACCCCGAAGATCAGCTGGGGACCGCTGAAGTAAACAGGCGTTTCGAGCCAAAAAACAAACATTTTCCACCGGCAAACGCCACGCCACTCCTTTTCGTGTCCGCGCTCGCCCGCCCCACGAAGACGCGGCGGAACATCCATCCTTTCATCGCTCCCCCCCCCCCCACCCGCCCTCTTTCAGCACACAAACGCGCTCGGGATCTCCTCGTCCAGGTCGGGCTTCCCGCGGCGATCGTTCTTCATGAGCCCCGTCACTCCCCCGCCGAACGCCTGCTCGAACGACTCCAGCATATCCTCCAGCCCCAGGCCGCGGAGGGCGCCCATCCCGCCGGCGTTCCACTCGGGGTCGTTCAGCTCGCAGTTCATCAGCACCTTGACCTCGCAGCCCCGGGGCACGCGGCGGGCGCTGCTGAGCTCGTCGACGAGGTACAGGCGCCGCAGGGTCGGCGGCCACTCGAAGCGCGGGGCAGTGTTCGGGAAGCTGTCGCCGAGACCCAGCGTGACCAGTCCGCGCGGCCACACGACGCCGTCCTGGGGTCTAGTGGCGTCCGACAGCCACAGTCGCCTTGGGGGGAGCGAGCGAGCGAGCGAGCGAGCGACCGGTGGAGGGGACAAGGGGAATGGGGCACCACACGAGCGGAGGAGCTTTGGTTATCGAAAAAGGAAAGGTGCGTTTGGGGGGCGAAGTTTGTGCAGCACTAGCAGTAGGTCACAGCTATTGCAGCAGCAGCAGCAGCAGCAGCAGGCGGTATATCACACGACAGGACACGACGATGTATACATAGAACCGGGCAGTCTTGCTGTGATTGCACGTATATGTTCTAAAGAAAACCGCCGTTGAATATTTACGGCAGTACTCACTCAAGGCTGACGGGGAGGCCGCTGTTTTCGCCCAGCGACTGATTGAAGCCGCTCTCAGTGGTGAAGTTCAGCCTCTCCAGAGTAATCTCGGGGTCTTCGCGGAGAAGAATCTCCCCGGGGGGCAAGAACTCCAGCGATTTCAGCCCCCGGGGCCATCGGACGCCCTGAAGGGGCTGGTTGAAGCCCGGCAGGGACATCCGCTCCAGACCGTCCGGCCACGCGACGCGGTCGATGGGCTGGTTGAAGCTCATGCCGAGGAATATCTCCCGCAGAGTGTCGGGGAACTCGGCCCTGTCCAGGCGCCTGTTGAAGATGCCGCCGAGGGGGTTGGACGAACGGCCCGCGGATCCGAAGGCGGCCTTGGAGGGCTCGAGCGAGCCGAACGCCAGCCGCTCGAGGCCCGACGGCCACGCCACCCGCGCCACGCAGCCGTTGAAGAAGTACAGGGTCACGGACTTGGCGTTCGTGGGCCATTGGACCTCGCTCAGCTCCACATCCGCGGGGCCGCTTTCTGGAGGTTGCTGCTGCTGCTGCTGCTGCTGCTGCTGCTGCTGCCGCTGCCCGTCCGCGGCGGTGCTGCTGCTGCCGCAGCGCTTCGAGGAGGAGGGCTGCTGTCGGTCGTCGCCAGACTTCGACCTGACGCGCTGCTGCGAATCGCTTATGGGGTCCTCGACCTGCTTCTTGTCCAGAACCACGCTCGGGAGGTAGATCACCGCCAGCCGAGGTGTCGCCGGCTCGCCCTCCCGCGGCCACAGTCCAGCAAGCGACCCCGGACCGTGCCCTCCTCCCGCCGCCGCCGCCGCCGCCGGAGATGGTGGGATCGCCGGTTCTGCTACCGCTACCTCTGGGGAGGATGGTGGCGTCGCCGGTTCGGACGAGTGAGGGTTCAGCAGCCCGTTGGTTCCGAGAGCACGAGGCCCTGCGCTGCTGTCGGGGAGGGTTTCGTCTCGACGGACCGTCATTTCGATGCTGCTGCTGCTGCTGCTGCTGCTGCTGCTGCTGTTCCTGCCGCAGCCGTCGAAGTCGAAGCAGCTGCCGCCGTCTTCATCGTTGCCGTCGGCGGCGGAGGCGGCGGCGCTGCCCGACCCGCGGAACGTGAAAAGAGGTCGGTGTCGCCACGTTTCTTCCTGCTGCTCCTTCGTGCTTCTGCCCCAAGTTGCAGGTGTCTTCATGATGGTGTGGATGCGCGACTGGAGTATCGATGAGGGGGGAGGGGGGAGGCGTTGACGGGACAGCGCGGGTTGGAATCATCGGTATGCACATGTACGTCACCGCGCGCAGGCGGATTGCTTATAAGGATCGGCAAACTCTGAATGTGTCCGCATGATTTTCTACTCTTTCAATACAGATAGCGCCCGCGCTCAAGAACCTCAAGTTTTGGTCGACGCCGGGGTTGGTTCTGTTTGTGGGCTACAAATGGCCATATATGCATACATCAATCGATTTTTAGCCTAGGGGTTCTTTGCCGGGCTCACAAACGTTGCTCAAGTTCTTAGTTCGATAAAAAACGTGTCGGGCATCAACTTCTTAACTTATCTGACAAGTTCTCAAGCGCGGGCGCTATCTGTATACCTGTCATCCACACAGCTGATGGACAAAAGGATCCTTCCGTCTTGCATCGAAAGCGCAGGAAAATCGAAAAATCTTATACACTGGGGGATCTAAATTACATGTAGTAGATGTGCATACAACGTACCAAACGCGGGCAGCAAGGGCACAAACTTGTTGATTGAAAGGGGCGGCAGGGATCGACGACACGCGAGCGACAACACACAAGAAACTCTACGGTTGGCAGCAGAGGGCGCCTAGAAGAGATCCTGTAAGGATGCATTCTCATTCTTGCATCCATCCATCTCCACGAACCACGAACTAAGGCTACACTCGGACGAGGCTTAGACGCGGGGGCCTGCGGAATTTTATGGGGGGGGGCGTAGGTGCCGTTGCCTGTGTGCTCACTCGTGGATCAGGGGCGGCAAGGACTGTTGTTGTACCGGGACGATGCTATTCTTTGGTCCACACTTCCGTTCCGCGTACCCTGGCCCCTGTGCAGGTAGTCTACACCAGGGACGAGGTGACCGCTGTCGAAATGCTGCTGCTGAAACAACAAAAACCTGGGGCGTTTGCCCCAGGCCCGCACCAAGTATGCTTCGACTCCAACAAACTGACGCACAGCCAAGACGGAAGGGTCTACCAAACGAATCTACGCGATCGTGCAAACTCTTCTGTCTTTGCCCTGTGCTGCCCACCGCTGTGCTACCACACGAGGAGAGAGGACAAGGTAAACAAGGAGCAAGAATTTGAAATTTGTTGGGACCGCCATAGAAAATCTTCTTTTCCGATCAGGTATCATGACGAGCAACTCGAGAATCACCCCTTTCCCTTCTCTCGTAACCTCCGTGCAGCTCGGCGACAGAATATCAGACGCAGCGGGGAGAGGCAGGAGAGCGTGCGCGCGCGTATTTCCAATCCAACGGGTCTCTCTCTCTCTCGCTACATACTGCCGAACTCCCCTGCGTGCTCTTCCCACCCCACCTTCAGCTGCTGCTGTTGAATATATGTGCGAATGTGCCAAACTCAACACACCTTCACCGGCGAGCTGCCGATCCACGTGGTGTCGCAGGAGCAGTATCTCCCACCAGGCACAAATCGATCCCACGTGCTTTCGACCAGCGAGCGAGTGCAGAGACTGTCTGCTCTGTCTCCCTAAGCTTCTTTCCGCTTTCCTCTGTGGACCTGTGGACGGGACCGTGGTGGTGTGGCATATCGAATTTAAAAATCACAAGGGTATACCCTCCATTTCGTTTTAGGATTCGGCGTTGCCCCTCGTTTGGTTTGCGAGTCCCCTCGGCAGGCAGTCTGCTCCACTTACACTGACAACAAGTTCAAATTTACTGCTGCGCGTTGGTTTCCTCCAGCGCGCGAGGCAGTCCGACGGAACACACGTGCTCCGGTACAAGAGGTAGGCCTCGCCCCCGCTTGTCCCCTTAGGGGCGGAGGCAATGGTTGAAGGGGACAGCAGCGAAGGAGAAGCTGGAGGTGCCCAGCCCCCGCCCGACCAGAACGGGCATCGCGAGCGAGAGGCTGCTTCTGTGAAACCGCCGAAGTCGCCAGGCCCTCCAGCGGCCATGGCGTCATCCGCGGCACCATTGGGCGCCGCGGGGGAGGGGGGATTGGAAATTGGCGCCGTGGCAGCAGCAGAACAGTCAGCAGCAGCGGCGGCGGCGGCAATGAAACAACTACCAGCAGCAGCAGGCGAGGAGGAGGACGATGATAACTCCGTCAGTCTTTCCGCTCGGCAAGAACAACAGGACCCACCAAAACTCTTCGGTGAGGTAGACGCGCCCTTTGCTGACGGGGTTCAACAAGGACAGGTGGACGTGGAGTCGGAGATCGGGGGGCCGCTCTCGCCGATGACGACGAGAAGCATCAAGGACGATTGTAGCACCGGCAGCGATTTCGACTGGGAAGGTGCCAGCCCCACCGAGCCCTCGTCTCCCGCATTGCGAGGGGTTCACAAAATCGCCGTGGAGGTGATGCGAAGGAGCTTCGGGTCTGCAGAGGGAGATCCAGGTATGTTTATAGGTACAGCATGTGTGTGTCTATGTGTGCTATGTGGTAGGCGTAATAATGGTGTGCGACGGAATTGTGACTCGTGCGGAACGACGCCCCAACACCCTTTTTCCTTTCTTTTTTGGGTGCACTTTTCTCGCTTGAAGCCAGCGCGTGGGCCGCACGGTGCGACCGCAGAGAACCAGAAATTTCGGCAAGATGGCAAGATTGATTTCTTGACTGCGCACACATGCGGACGTTCATGATGCTGCTGGTGATGTTGCGGGAGTACTTGATCTTGATCACCTTTTAAAACCATGCATGTATTTATTTCATCCAGTGGCGGGGTAAGGGGGATATTGAACTCCGTCCGTCATATGGGATCATGTTTCCTCCGGGTTGCGTGTATGTGCACAGCAGTCGAGGCCGTCCATCGATCAGCAGTCGAGTCATTTATTTCTACGGCCGCAAGTGTTTGCAGCAGCGAGAGACAAGACTTCAGACTGCAGACTTCAGACCTGGAGACAAAACAACCATTGAAGCGGACAGCAGTGTTCAGAAGCAAGGCAAACCTGGGTGCCGGTCAATTTGCCTTCCGCAACCTAATACGAAGTATCCACCTACCACCTGGCAGACATTGGTGTGTAGCAATCAGCGAGCGATGGCGCTGTTTGACCCACTGAATCAGGCCACCGCAGCAGCAGCAGCAAACTGTGCCTGCAGCGAAACCAAAGACCACATGAGTTCATCGCTAGGCGATCCCGGACTCTCATTATCTGGAGGCAGGTGTTGTAGTTTTGTAAGAAGGAGCACCTGTCGACGGGCGGAGATAAAAGCATGGAGAAGAAGTGTAAGGTCAACACCTTTCGTACATGAGGTCCTCTCTCTACTACTGGTATGCTGCAAGGACATTACACCGATTGATAATTTTTTTGGCTGCAAGTGTTTGTCCACCCACAAACGGAGGGGCTTTCGGGGGCAGCGGCGGAATACGGAATGCAGCAGTGGCGCGTCCTAATGCGGCAGTTTGTACAATGTTAGGGCGGGTGGCCGGTGGCCGGTACAGGTGGATGAAATCTCTTACACAGAAAAATCATCATGTCGTTTACTCCTACTCCGTGGTATGTTTTGTGAAGTGCTTTGAATGGCGTGGGTACGATCGGGTGAAGGCATAATTTCCAGTAAAGCTTGGTTGCCCATGCGATGGATTGCCATGTGGAAGAATGGATTGGAGGAATCAATACCTACAGATACGTCACCGCGACAAGTTGTCGATGCCGGACCTCAATGTGCCTATCAGCCTGACCCTCTGGTCTGTGTGGGGAGATCAATCGACCTTTGAACATGGGGCCAGGAGATCCAGGAAGGGGTAGAAACTACCTGGGTTCTGCTGCTGCTGCCGTAGGCTTGAACTGGGGTCGTGGTGGTGAAGTGGTTGCGAACGGTAGGCCCGCGAGAGCCTCTTGGGTGTTGATCTACGTGTCGACACGCTGCGATGTGTTTTTTTAGTGCTTTAGATGGGGTCACGTTTCTTCTGAGATGTGAGCTATAATAGTTGGAACTTCCGAAAACGGTTGACGGTATGCTATGCATACGTGAAGCGAACTGCCAGTCCTCTCGCCCCCGGGTTTCGACTACGTTCGCCCAAGGCAGTTTCTCGGGAGTCCCCGGCTTCCGTGATGAAGCACTCATTTTTTCCAGTTTCAGATATCGCGGTTGTCAACAGCTTTGGTGCTGTTGGGGTAGTGGTGGTTGCGTCTTGTCTTGGCCGCCCAGTTGTTGGGTGAACCAGCGCGTACATACGGCCGACTAGTTATTCATCTCTGTCGCAAGCAATGCTACTGCTGTCGTTGTTGGACCAAGAGAGAGGCCACCCGTTATCTAGACTGCTGTTGAATTTTGGTGAAACCCACCAGCGGCAGCAGCTGCAGCAGCAGGCGTCATTTTCGGCTGCAGCAGTTGTATACAAGTACTATTAGCACCGAGTTACCATGCGTGGGCGTTCCACCGTCGTGTGATACGAAATTATCATAGGTTTTTGGTGTTTGTGTAGAATGAATGACCACCTTGGCATGCATGTGCATACATCACTGACCTAGTACACCTAGTACTCTAATTGTTTCTTTCTCGTCGACTCTCGCGCGCGTCCGGATGTGCTCCTGGGATTTCATTCCCTGACGCCTGTCGTCTCAACAGGGATGCATGCAGCCTTGGTTGCCATGGGAAAGGAGAAGGCCCGAAGGGAGGACGACGACGATGGGATGTTCGAGGAAGAGCAAAGCCTCACCACGAAGGTGCGTAGCCCGTTGTTTCCCCGTTGTAAGTATGCTGTGTCCTCGACAACCATTGGAGGCTCGATTGTACAGAGGGGGAGAGACGCGTAGCAATCCCTCCCGTTGCTGTTTGTTAATGTCAGGCAGATGACCGCACACCGCAAGTGCGACTTTTTTTTCTGCGTCTGTTGTTTGGCTCGCGTCAACGCTGCAGCAGTAGAAACAACAGCACCAGCAGCACTGGTGCAATGATAACGCTACGGTGTGCGCAGGAAGCGCGGGCTCTTGGGCGGAAAGCAGCTGGCCTCGAAACTCTAAAACAGTATTGGTAGTCGCGAAGAGGTGTGATGCGGTACGACTTGGGTCAAAGCTGTTTGCCCGATACAACGACTGCTGTCATCCACAAGCAGCCATCCGGATCGCACGTGTCACTAACTGCCGTATCGGTGGCACCTCTCTCCCTTGTGCGGATTGATGCTTACACGCGACGTCCCACTAGGCTTGGGACTGCCGCTAAATAGTACTGACTCCGCCCCCCCCCCCCTCCCCCCCCCCGCCAGGAGCCACTACGGCCACGGGCCCGCAGTAGTGTGCCGACATGTGCCCGACCAGCGAACCGGCACAGTTTAGGGCCACGGCCGCTACTCTAGAGACTACACAAGCCAATCAGCAAACAGTCACCAACAACAAAGCCTCCTGTCTTACCGGACTGCTCCAATTTTATAGAAAGGGCGGTGGTGAGTTTCGTGGACCGTTATTTTTCGTGTCTGCTTGACCACGTTCGGCTTAAATAAGTGCGTGCTTGCGATGACTTGTTCCCGATGCCAACAGGCCGCGGATCTCAAGCAGAGTCTTATCGACGTGTCCGTAGACGACATCGATATGTCCGGAGGCAAGCCTTCCGATCGGGGCGGCGACGGGGAGGGCGGCGCCCTACGAGCCTCGCCACGGCCGGCGGGCGCAGCGGCGGCGGCGGCGGCGGCGGCGGCGGCAACAGAAGTGGTGGCATCATTGGGGACGGCGGGGGCGGAGGCAGGGGGGGCAGGGGCTGACGATGAGAGCGGTAGCAGAAGGGGGAGCGCCACCGCCGAAGGTGACGAGCAACTTCCACGGGCGGCGGCGGCGGTGGCGGCGGTAGCGAGAGAGGCGGAAGAAGCGGCTTCCCCCGCGGTGGCGGCGGCCGGGCGGGCTACAGATAGCGGTGGGCGGGAGGGCACCGCTAGCGAGCGCGTCGAAGGCGTCGTAAGCATACCACCGGCGGCGGCAACGGGAGGTCTCAACGGTAACGGTGTGGGGCAGGGAGAAGGAGGACCAGGGGGCAAGGTTGATGCCGGTGCCACTAACGGCGGCGACGAGGGTAGGGCTGCGAGCAATGGCGGGGGGGAGCTTGTGACGAGAGCGATCCCGAGACGACCGTTGCGAGAGATGCTGAGGTGAGAAGGAGGTGTTTGTTTGGCCGTGCAGCAGTACAGTGGTGGTCCAGATATACCGTACCGCGGTCTCGAGTAGTGCGGGCCCTGATACACCGCGGCAAAAATCGCTTGTCACAGGATTTGGCTACCATACTAAAAGCTATATATTCCCCAACACTCAATAGTGCGGTGTCTCCATGTACACCGCGGTGATTTTTTATCTGCCACGACACCGCGGTATATCGGGACCATGACTGTGGTCGAGGCGTGTGGTTTTCGTTAGGTGTCTCCGTCCCGCGTGTCTCCTGCATGCCCGACCGGATAGCGACAACGACAACGACAGTGACGCAGCAGAGGCGGCGTCTTTGTATTATTTAATCACTTAATCACACAAACAAACAAACCTCAAGGGTGCGGTGGTGGTGTTGGTGTACACCGGAGAGAGGGCTTGTCCAACGGCTTGACGTCTCGCCTCTTTCAGGTGTTGCGTAACAGAGTGTTTTCACGAGCGAGACCATGCAAGAGAGAAGGTTACGCTTTTTTGTTTGCCGCGTTTTGCTTTGTTTTCCGCCGCTGTGCAGCAGTACCGAGCGAAAATAAATGGAACGGGGCGGCAGGGATTGGTGTCGTGTTGTCGTGTGCGGTGGGGGTGAGGTGCTCCTGGGCTCCTTTTTTGTATCACCCGCCAGAATGTTGCGGCAGCTTGTGGCAAGCGTTGGCCTATGGTTGCCGCATCACAACAAAGCGAGAGCTAATTAAACACACACAGCAGCAGTAGCTGTCCTTCGACACGGGAAGAACCAAGGCAGCCAGTCAGTCAGAAACAACACCAGATCGTCTCTCTTGACGTTTTCTTTTTGTTCCCTCCAGGCTGTTGGTGCTTGCTTTTGCCATGTTGCGATATGGTGCCACCCGTGGCGGCGCCGGTGGTACAACGTGAAATCCATCACCACGGCGGTATGCCTGCGTGCGTACTACGGAACATTTGATACTAAACATGGCAAAACGCTTGGATACGTTTGATGGTGAACAAGGTTGGAGGAAGAAGAAGCCGAGGTGAAGGACGGGGGCGAACCCGTAGCTCGCCTCGAGCACCTTCCGGCCTTTACTGAGAGATGGGCGCCGGAGGCACTCACACCCCACATCTTGACGCAGGTGAACGAGTAGTCAGTCGACCATTGAGCGTCTCGCGTGTCCGTCCCGTCAGGTCGTTCCGTCCATGCCATGCCGCCCCCAAGGGCCGATGAACAGCACGCCCCCCCCCCAAAAAATGAAACAAGGGGTCCCTCTGGAGTGCGCTCATGAGAGCTCAAGGGGGTGACGCAAGATGAAAATAAGACCAGTAGAAAACTAACCCGCAGGCAGCTGCCAGCTACCATGATTTTTCCCAAACTCGAACTGCTCACACAGCTGATGTGTTTTTCACTCGAAGAGTAGTAGCCCAGCGAACCCCAACGAATCTAGAGAAAAAATTGAAATCTGTGTACAGCAGCAGTCTTGTATAGAGGAGGACGCGAGGGCGGGGGGGGGGGGGGGGCGTCTTCATGCAGGTCGCCAAGATTAGGATGAGCGTGTTTACTGTGAGGGTGGACGTTTGTTTTTTTTGTTGAGGCGTTTCCAGTGTCTGGCATGGCAATTCTGTGCTACTATCACCGTTGTTGCAGTTGTTGACGTCGTCGTTGTCGGGACCCCCTCCCCCCCTCCGTCATACTTATCGTATCTTATCTTACGCATATCGCATCTTATCCTGTCGTATCTTATCTTATCTTATATCAGGTGTTCAGCGGGCTGGTTCCCGTGGCGTCGAACCAGGGGCAGGGCGAGCCGGTGTGCACGTACATGCTGGAGTGCTGCGTCCGGCCCGACGTTCAGGCCGTCACCATCCTGCACGTGGCCTCGCTGGTGAGCCATCCACCAACCCGCTTTTGATGTTTCTTCTTTTCTTTTCTTTTGTCTTCACTTCAAATCAGCGCTCACAGCACTATAGTGCCGTTTGCTCCAACCCGTGGTCACGCGGAAGAGACTCTCTCTACCTTGCCCTCCTGCGGTACTTTGCCTTCGATTTTTAATGCGAGAAGAGTTCAGCACTCTCTTCCCTCTGTGTACACACGAACTAGCGCTATCCACTAGGCTAGGAGCGGAAGCGAGAGAAAAACTCACTTTGCAAGAAAAGCTCGCTTGCGCCGGGATTCGAACCCCTGACCTGACCTCTAGAAAGTTTCGAGGATACCAACTAGACCACCGGGGCGACCTGCTTAGCCCTGGATGAATGTCGTATTTGATTGTTTTGTTTTTCAAGACTGTAGGTGGCACTACAGTTGATGATGACTTCGCGAAGTGGACGCGGGGGGGGGGGGGGGGGGGGG